CGGAACGACATGACGGGGGAAATATGATATATGATAGAAATGTCGGACACCACAGTAACCCACTCGTCACTCGGCATCAAGGATTCTTTAGTAGGGACTAAAGACAATGCCGCGATCAAGAGACAGCAAATAGGCTGCTTAGGCGCATAAGCATTGCACCCCCCATCATGGAAAACTCGAATTCAGCCAAGGAGTCTTGAATGGAGACACACTTGTCGACTTCGAAGATGGTGCTGGAGCCCTGGAATGTCCTTGGTCGGTTCGCCTGACCAGTCGCGGGGGTTTCCAAGCGCTGCGGGTTCGCGATCCCCACACGGATCCGTTGAACTCACACATACCCACGCCATTCGAGTCGTACAAAGGGTCGTACAGCATTCAAGTTGGGGAGAAGTGAGGCCAGGAACAGCCCATTGAGGCTGATGGAGCAAAAAGAGGGAGAAATGTTTGGTGGGTGGATGACGGGTGGATGATGGCAGACGGGCAGAGGTTGTCTCAGTGGACCGCCACTTGATCCACTCGGCAGCGATCCACATGGCCGAGGAACGGAAAGATCCCGCAAGCGAGCCGATTGTGGTTAGAGGCGCCCCCGCTAGCTTAGATAATCGCTTCCTCCTCCCCTTGTATGCCAATATCTCGTCATACCACACCCATACCAGAGTACGGTCGCTGCTGGACGGCATGCCACACTTCACCAACCACAGCGCTCCATTGCTTCCCGACCTACTCTATTTCGACTCACCTGGAAACCTACACGTACCCTGACTACCTACCAGACTGGACCAAGCTTCATGCGGCTTGGATGCAGCCGGCCGCTTTGGTGACCACTCTTCTCGCTGACGGTGGACTCAGGGATAGCGTTTTCAAGTTTTCATGGTTGTATTTGCACTTTGTTTGTCAGGCCTTCTCTCTCTTCCTGTGGCTTGAGGCCGCATCATTTCTCAATAGTGCTCGGAGAAAGCGCCGAAACTGTGACGGGAACTTGATACTTGATAGGCTTCGGCTCAATGGCAATGAAGGCAGCATGATAAGAAGCTCCTCATCCACGACATTATTAACCTGAGTATTCCGAGCTTGGCAAGACTGGGTGGACAATTATCATACTTCGTTCATGTCTGACTGGTTGGCATCCCAGGCCTCCATCACAGGATATGTTGAAGTGCCATGAAGTGCTTTCAATGTCCCGACTGTGTACTGGCAACCAAAACCCGCAATTGCGTCGATATGCATGTCCTCCTACACTGCTGAACACGATCCAGGACGAAGCCTACAACATATGGCTTACTTGTGCGATTGCTACTCTTGGGTTACCAAACGGCTGGGTCTGCGCTCAAAGGTTCAAGATCCTTTTCGACATGCCTTCTCCGAGCCAACAAGGCTATGAAAGCTCCTGCATATGAAGCTTGCCCGATCAGGTTCGATCTTTGACAATCATACGTCAGCATCTTCAATAACGCCCCCATAATGGCCAATGACGAATGTAGTGGCGCTTGCATATGCGCATAAACACCAAGGTCCCCAAATCCCGCAAGAGGTCGTTACAAGGGTGTTGTCGTGATGCGAATCCTGGCCGGTTGGCAGAACGGATACCGCGCCACATGGATAACAGGGTCAAACATATGTCGCGAGCTGCAAGTCTGCTTCCCAGCAATTTCCTCGGTTGCTGCTCAATCTATCTTCCTCTCCGGTACCGAAACTTCTGTGTAGCCGATGGAGATATGGTTTTGCTGCGGCCCGATATCCAATTATGCGTGTGACATGCCTCAAAGTTTGATCTCGATACCTAGACAGGCCTGACAGGATATCTATCACCAACGCTCTGTAGAGAAATCACTGGCGCATATCTATTGTAAAATCAAACACGGGCAAACACATATTTGTGCCCTTACGTCGAATTGCAGTACACTAAAAGTCGGGCTATAGCACGCTTAATCAAACACGAGATCAATAGAAGAGTATTTGTCACAATGGAGCAAGGCTGTCACTTCTGACCAGGCGTCCAACGCTGAACCCCCACCCAATCCTGTTTGTTGCTTGATGCCTTGTAGTATCGCCATGTAACGCTTGCCGGTCACCTATTGCGGCACGCTTATGCGTATGCATGTTATACCTGCCGCAGCACCGTCAGCCGCAGTCTGACAGCCTGCACGATTAGGTACTCGCCTGCGCTCGGGCAGATTAGATTGCCTTGGGGCCGAGAAAGAAAGGTGGTGGCATCGTGTATGTCACCGTGCCCTCAGGGAAAGTGCTCAATCTGTTCGAGGGCTTGACCTTGAAACGGTCGCACAACACCGCCGGATGCGATCCGCGGAGCCTTGTTGCAGCCGGAATTTTTGGCAAGGTGTGTCTATATCGGCTTCAAAGGAAGGTGCAATTTTGTTGCATTTTCGAAGGGTCTTGCCCGGTGGCCATAGCGAGTGCTTTCGCTACCGAGTCCGGATATCTCTTATATGGCAGCGAACTGACTATTGTGATCACCATTGGCAACAGGCTTTGCAGTAGAAAAGCATTTTCGAATCGTATGAAGTGGGCTTTGAGAAATGTATTAGACAGAATGGCACGTCGTTTGCGCCTTTTCGCCTTTTCAAAGCCAGCTGCCGGGAGAGCATAAGCTGCATTCTACATCCACTGCTGCCTCAAGACTCCTATTCTTGTTCAGCTCTAAACCCCTTTTCCTCGCCAAGAATTATTGATAATTGGCAGAGCCGACATCGAATCAAATTAACGACGAGCTCCAGCTTTCGCACCCACATCCTAATACAGCCAATGCCAGGACGCAGTTTCTGGGTTCTCTGACTCGTGGCGTCTCTAACAAGACACCCACAACGTCCTCTGGCCAAAGCTTGAACAAGAAATATCGCATGTCAAACGAACCAACGACCCCATGCTTCCCATCCAAAGCATCCCTCATGGTTGAGCTGAATCATGTGAACACTGTTAAAATCATTACAACGAAAGCAACAGCCGCCGTCTCAAACAGAATCGACGCCCTGACTGCACCAGCAGCATTCTTCGAAAGACCAAACGGCAGCCCCTGCTCGCTAAACGTCAAGTTCTGCTTGACAGTCGAGTTATAACACTGGCCGTTGACAATGTCCAGGTTCTTGAGATCGTCGGGGACGTTGAAGAACATGTACTGGTTCTGCGGCAGGTCCTTGAACCCGGAGGTGTCGTAGGGAAACCTGTCGGCCGAGTCGGTGCTGCTCGTGTTGCGGAGGAAGATGCACTGCACCTGGCCGGGGTAGTCCTTGGTCAGCTGGGGGTAGTCCCTCATGATGTCCGAGTTGCTCGTGTCGCCGACGAGGATGAACTTGCGCTGCGGGAAGGTCTGGAAGATGCGGTCGAGGAGGAACTTGCGGATCGCGAGGGTTGCGGATACGTCGGAGAAGTTGAGGGGACGGGTGTCAAAGCTCCCTAGCGGGTAGGTCTTGTAGATGTAGCTGCGGCACGTCAGTCAGTCAAGGGCAATAAAGTGTAGCCTGGCACGACGAGCGATACATACTCCATGTAATTCCTGGTGACCTGCTCAGGCGTAGTCGTCAGGTAGTGATAGTGCAAATTGGGCACCGTCTTGGACCAGTTGGCATATATCTCGGGCATGTTCAGCCAAGGAGTGAAAGGACGAGCAAAGGAGTTCAACAGTCCCTCCTTTGGGTCGTAGATCTTCGTGACGCGGAGGATATCATCAATGTCCGAGACGACGGTGAGGCCTCTCGGGGGCACCAGGTATGCTGTCGCGTTTCCGGTGTCGGTGCCATTGATATACATGTTGAGAGTCTGGATCCGGTCCGTCTCGTTTCCGCCCATCATGTGGCCACCGTTCGGGCCTGTGCTGTTGAACAACACCAGGAAGGCATCGAAGTCGCCTTCATCCGTCGTCTCGTAGGGTAATTGTATAACCTGGGCACCGCCGGCGGCGTTTATCGCACCGCTGTCTGTCTCTGGCTTGACGGCAACGTCGTTGGCAAAGGTCACAGTGACGTTGACGTGCCTCTGCTGCACCACATATATCTCGGACGTCAGGTTCCTGGCTTGAGCCTGCTGGTCCGCTGGGAGATTCTTGATGTCTACATCGATGAGGAAGATATTGGCAAGGTCATCGAGTTTCTCCCTCGATATGTTTGGCTGCTTGAAGACGTTGCCGTGCACGCGAACGTTCCAGCCTGCGTTGGTCCAGTTGCCGTATGCAGGGACATTGAGGACTTGGGTTGGCGTTGCCGCAAGGTCTGAGTCTGATATACCCAGTGACTTTTGAACTTGGGTGCCGGTCGGTAGTCCTGCGAAGAACTGCGGAACGCCGGATGCGACGAAGCTGGAGACATCGCTACCAATGTCGCTGATGACACTGCCGATGTAGCTTCCGATGCTATCGAGCTGTCTTTCTGCAACAACTCCCGGATCTCGTGGTACAAGTGCCGGGGCAGGCGTGATCATAGGATGCGGTGCAGGAATAGCGAGGACCGATGGCAAAAGCCATAACAGGTGAGACACGGTACGGAGCGCCATCTTGTCGACTGTTACCGGATGTCACAAGCGACGGGTCCAGTTCCTCTCCGCGATCAAAGCGAAGGACAGAATGACATTTGTACAGTTTTGAAGGAAAACAAAGCGAGAGATGGGAGAACCAAGTTCAGGATTACCTCCAGAAGAACGAGTCATGAAACAATGCGATTTAACCAGTAAGATGCAGGTTGCTTCATCTCCGAGGCGTAGCGCGTCGCGGATGCAAGTACCCCGAATTACACTTCAAGCTGTTGACGTCACTGACAATCATCATTGGCTCAACTGCCAAGGGGGTCGCAACGACTAGTGAATCAAGCCTTTTAGGATCTACAACGGTGCCAAGGACTTGGGAAATCCAGATCCAACGATTTACACTAGGATGAATACTTTAGGTTGGAAGAATCCGACCGTTCTTCTTGGATGGCGCTGCTTGCAGGTGGGCAGCGGACTTCAGAGCCCCTAAGCGGCGTTGATTTCCAATCGCATCAGCGATGTAACCTGGCTGGATGGCCGAGCGGTCTAAGGCGCCAGATTCAAGTGTTCACGCACTTTCCTCTCTGAAGAGTTGGGATAACCTGGTCTCGTAAGAGGCGCGCGTTCGAATCGCGCTCCAGTCAAATTGATTTTTTCTCTTTTCTTTTTCTCCGTTCGCTCTTGCGAACTATTCTAGTTATACTTGAGTCAAGTGAAGTCTGTCGCAATGATTGTAGGTATCTTCGCAAGTTAGTTAGCAATCGTATCAAACTTTCTACAGGCGGGGTGACTTATCCTCAGCGTTTTGAGGGGCCGCCCTCCCGCCATCGCTGGAGAGAGGGACAGCCAGGACCGCTTCCCAGGAAGCCGATCCTCTTAGCAGGCTCCCTCGCTGGCAAGCCTGAGAATAGATACAAGAGGATATCCACTGCACCAGACGAGCACGAAGCTCTGACTCCAACTCAAGATGGGTCCCGGCACAGCTTTTATCGTTCTGTAGAATATCCCCAGGAGCCGACCAGGTCAGGGCTCTTAACAGATCCATTCCACATTAGGAGCCGCAATCATCAATACCACCAGAAGTCGAACCAGCGAGAATGAGCGTAACTTGGACCAGGATACCGGATCGAGAAAATCTTTCCGTGTGACTGCACTGCCAACTTGGACAAATTTTTGTTTCCGCTCCATCGGGATCGCAAGCGACCGGCTAAGGAGGGCAGACCGCGCGAACAAAAACATCCGTAAAAACCGCGCTATCATCTTCGGGTGTGAGCCCAGAGTAGGTACACCGAAGGAACAATACCTGATACCCGGAGGTACCAGGCAAGAGGTTGGCGTCCTGCCGGATCGAATGAAAAGCCATTCGAGGACAGGTTGATGCGCCTGGTCGGATTACATGCTTCTATGACGTGCCCTGGCTGTTGCCAAGCACGGTCCTGGGAACAGACTGCCAGTCTGGATGTCTTAGAAACTCCGGTATCGCCTGCGTGTGGTTGAGTGGTAGAAGTGGATGGGTAGCAAAGGTGCCGAGAGCGTAACAGTGATGCAAGTGAGAGGCACCAAGCCCAGTTGACCTTTCCGTTTGTAGCCATATGATCCTCGCTCACCGCAGGAAGACTTTGGTGATTCTGGCGAGGCAAATCCTAGGCAGGAGTGAAGTGTCGGGGCTTGGTCGTTTGTGGCCAACACTGCGCTCTCCCTTGTACCCTCGTGGTACGCTCACGAAGAGCCGTCACTAGATGGAAACCCCACGACCAGGAGCACCCGTTAAGCGTATCTTCCACGTCAGACTGGCAGTCCATATCACCAGAACAATCCCTCTTGACCAGAGTACTGGTTCCAGTGGTACAATCCTGACGAGCGACCTCTACGCGAGGCTCTTACCATACCGGCTCATAGTGAAAAACCGCTCACGCATCCGGAGATGTCTGGAATGTCTTCCTCGCCTGTCCGTCTTCATCGTTCCTGGCTCGGCCCGGACCACTTCTCAGCGGCGCCCGACGTTGCTGGTAATTGAATCAGACTTAAAAGGCGACTTGGACGACTATAAGCGCAAGACTCGGTGATAACCAACAGATTACTTAGGGTTAAGTTCCGAGACCCATTCTCGCGGCAGGCCTGGCTCGCTGCCCCAGAAGGAACGCACGAGATCACGCATCCCATCCGCGTCAAGCTTGATACCTGATACAGGTTCAGAAGATGGGAGTGACGTGAACAACCAGTCCAGTGCCGAAAGGTTCAAGTGAACATTCCTTTCGGAAAACAGGAATCGGAGGACTGAAGGGGAGGCGTCGTGCATTGAGGTGGCTTCGAGAGCTGTGAAAGAACTTCTACTGATCAGGTCTCGAGGTTGTTCGTCCGTTCCCAAGCTCGCATAACATGGCATCAACCCTGATCGCATCTCCTGCAGACTCCGAGGCAAAGACAGGTCGAAGAGGTGATTGTAGTTGTCAGAAGGAGAGGATGGTTGAAATCGCCAATTCCACGAAGCGTGTCGAAGACGCGCCGAATTGACACTAGTCCATAAATGGTAAGACTGCGGACACGGCGCCACGTGGAGCAGGGAAAAGAAGTGGGTCATCCTGCTCTCTCCGGCTAGGTTAGTGGCAAGTGCGAATAATGAGGAAGGCATGTCATCGTGAAGTTGAAGTCTTATGGGTGGTGAACTTTCCTCACAGCTGCATCTAGGCCATATATTTTTCGTATATCCGCCAGCTATTTAGGACAGACACACACCACTTCGCTATTCCGAAGTAGCTGCGTCCGAAAGCCCAGCTCTTACATAGGACGGTTTGAAACGGCGTGGAGCGCAAATCTCGTCTAGATCAGGAGTGACGGCGACTTTCGAGGGCCCGAACTCGCAAAGGGCATAATGTCCTTGGCACAGAAAACCCGGCAGGACCTCGTTCGCTCAATAGCTGAATATGCAAACAAAGCTTTTAGTCCGAATTCGTCACCAGAGGTCCAGACAGAGGGTAAGCGCGCTCTTGATGACTTGGTCCACAGGTAGGTCGAGCGGTATCCTATGATATGGCAACTTTGTTCTGAACTTGCTTCAGGACAGGTACACTATCCCTCATACCAGCTTTGAACATTCTGATACGCCCGGACCATGCGCCCCCATGGCTGCGGTCAGAACTGGTGGCCATCTTGACGACGCTACCCTTGCGTCCTGATGGCGTCCGTGGGACACTGGAGTTCGTTTTCGCGGTTCATCCGTCTAGTACGGTGAAGACATCCGAAGCGGCCACTCCCCAAAAACAAGGCGCGAATATCACACATGAGGCATTGAGCCTGGCGTCTACCATGCTTTCGGTGCCGCCGAAGCGGGTCAAACCTGAAGTCTGGTTCTCTGGGGTTGCCCCTCAGCTGCTCAAGCTACTTGACGGCAATGACGGCCCAGAGTTGACTAAAGTGGCTTCATACGTGATCGGCTTTGGTATATTGGGCCGCAAAGAGTTTGGTGCACCAGGTATGTGATCCTGATGTTCTACCTGCCGTGTAAGAGGAGGGCTGATCTCCATAGCAGGCTCTCCGGGATGGAAATATCTTGCAGAACCCATGCTGTGTCAACTCAATCCATCTCTGTGCAAGGACTACCCTACCAAAAGGGAGTCGAACGACTCAGAGGGCATAGTTGACCTCAGTCAAGATCCGGAACTTGTGTCCTCCGAAGAGCTGACTCTCGCGGTACGACGGCTGAAGACTCTCGTCGTCTCACATCCAAATCCGAGCCTCTGCAAGAGGCTACTTCGGCAAGTGCTGTTGCAACTCTGGACCGTGTCCTCGTGGTCTGATGTCAGTGCGAAGACAAAAGAAGATCTTTGTGTGCCAGCTCTGGATCTCTTGAAGATTTTCTTCAAATTAGGGATCTCTCCCGAGCTTATTCATTTCCTAATCCGCAATCTGACCTATACTGGTCCGGGCAGCTCAGCCGAGCCTGCTTGGTCCTATAAGGCTACTGCAAACGGCGCGTTGCATATCGTTGTTCCACGGCACTTACTCGAGGAGAGTCAAGAGAGGCGCGCGATCAACCTCCACGACATAGATACCAAGTTAGACCTCCTCCTAGAGCTTTTGGAAGCAACTGCAAGTGAGATCGATATATCCTCGGTCTTCCTCGAGCTTTTCAAAACGTGGTTAGCTCCCAAGTCAAGGACCCGACCTGGTCAAATATTGGTCCAAGAAGACGATGACAAGCAAAACGACGAGCCCTTGATCAAGGTCATCGAGATCAAATGCTTGCAGAGCATGATGGAGAAGCTCCCGAGCAAAGTGGTCAGCAGGTCCGATCATGCTCTTGAGCTCGCCAGCCAGATCCTGAGTGACTCTGAGGCTACGACGGGGGATGACGAGAGTATCCCGGTGGCCTTGAGTCTCCTAAACTTAGTCATTACATCACCAGGCTTCAAAAAGGCAAAAGTCTCTCCAGAAGTTCTGCAGCTACTGGAGACGTCACTCGAAAGGCTAGCTAGGGCCCCTACGAGTGACGTTGCTAGTACAGCAAGAAACCTTGGACTCTTGCTCAAGTATAGGGATGAGGTTGAGGACATGTCAACCACTACATCGGGGCCGACAGAGCGACAGATCGAGGATCGAAAGACGTACAACCTTGCTATATCATATATTGGGCAAGTGGACTCGCCGCCCCCGGTGCGGATGGAAGGACTCAACTTGATTTCGACACTCATACAGGCTCATAGCCCTGTGCTAGATATCCCGGCAGTCCTGGTTCTAATGTCCACCCTCCTAGCTGACGAGGAGGATTACATCAACCTTAAGGTCATCAAGATCTTCACTCAGCTTGCGGACAAGCATCCAAAGTCGGTGGTCCAGGAGTTGCTGGACCATTACGTTGACGCAAACGAGAAGGCGTCCCTTAACACACGATTACGTTTTGGCGAGGCCCTAACTCAGGTGATAGAACGACTGGGCGAGACTTTCACGGGCGAAGTAGCACAAAAAGCAGCAAACGCGTTGCTATCTATTGCTGGTCGACGTGGACACCGGCCGAAAACCGAGGCCAAACAGGCCAGGGAGGAGAGGGCGCGTATGTTGAAGCGCAAGGAAGCTGAAGACGCCTGGGGCGGAGAAGTGCCAGACTTGGATGAGGACGAGACGGAGGAAGATAGGGTGAGGAATGAGATCATTGCAAGGATAGTCGAGGGATGGGAGAGCAAGAGAGGCACGGAAGACGTCCGCATCAGGGCTTCCGCACTCTCGATTTTCGCGGCTGGTGTGGAGACCAATATCATGGGCTTGGGCCCGTCTGTCGTCTCTACGGCTGTGGATCTCTGCGCCAACATCCTGACTGTAGAGACCGAGGTGGAGAAGGGCATACTCAGGCGGGCTGCCGTCCTCTTGATACTCGACTTCGTTCGGGCTTTGGACAAGGCGAAGCAGGAGAGGCGTCGGCTTGGTTTCAGCCTGACAGGTCAGAGCCGAGAAGATATCATGAGGATTCTCCAGTATGTGGCGGATGTTGATAACGACGGGCTGGTCAAGCAGCATGCCAAGGATGTGGTGGAAAGCTTGCAGAACTGGGAAATGGCCAGCTTTGTCCCTGACAGTCGAGACTTGCCAGGACCAACCTTGACAAAGTTGGCTGGTTTGTCCGTTAACCCGGAGCTGTCACAACGATCGG